TCCCAATATCCCCTTCAAGAGCATACCCCTAATAGACTAACATCCTTCCCTTAGGCCCACTCTTAAAGGTTCCATTATTTCACAACAGTGCCATCTGGGGACCAAGCCTTTCAACACATGAATCTTTGGGGTATATTTAAGACCCAAACAATAACAGAGTCAGACTAAAATATTTTTATAATTACTTCTTTTTAAGTCTGTCTTTTCCCAATCCAGCAAGAGATTGTCATTTGTTTAAGAGTATTAGGCCACTTAATACATGTTTGTTGATAGGTGAATGTAGAAATTGTTCTTAAATACCAAGAGTGAAATGTTACCTTGAAAATCTCTATATTTTCTACTTTGGAATCTCACGCAGCTGGGCATGGTAGCACATGCCTGTAATACCAACACTTGTGAGACTGAGGAAGGAGAACTATAAATTTGACACTCTGGGCTACATAGAAAGTTTGAAGCCAGCCTGGACTACATAGCAAGACCCTATCTCAAAAAAAAAAAAAAAAGTAGACTCATATGGCTCCAAACATTTTTTATTTGCATTGTGCAAAAGATACTCCATTCAAAACTGTCATATGTCTCCATAAATGCTTTTGAGTATCATGGCTAAAATCACAGAGTATTTCCCACATACAGTTTAGTAGTCATTTCTGTATTAGTGCACAGCATAAGAGTTCAAAGTAAAGGATACCAATTTTTCATGAAAGCCTTTTAAAATTCAAATATTATGCATGCATGTATGAAAACAGGCTAATAAAACTCATTAAATTGTTTAAAAAGGGGGAGTAGGATGAGGAGGAGCAATGGAGGGGCAGATTTGATCAAAGTACATTACACACGTGTACAGAAACCCATGTTAAAATATGCTAATAAAAATCTGAGCACTGTAAGCTAAAATGATTTGTGTGTGTGGACATATGTAATGATTACAGCTGTGTAAAATTTGCATTTGCTTGTGGATGATAACGTATGGTCATGAAAAGAATTACTGAGTTTATTTTAATATCTTTTAAAAGAACAAGCATATTAGTTTCTGTGTTTTACGTCGATCAAGCAGTATCATCTGATTGTGGTTTTGGAAAAGAGAGCCATCCAAATGCTGGCATAATTTAGACGATTGGATAATGAAAACCCTCTACTTCATTTATACAAGATTTTAGAGCTAGCCAATATTAAAAAATATGGGTTCTACAGCTTACTTTCCTTAGTGTGTACATAAAGGCTTTGGCCATTCGTTTTCAGGTAGTTTTACTGCCATCAGTAATTGTCATTTCAAGATGGACATGGTGTTCTAAGTTCTGTTAGAGTTATTCTTTTCCTTTAATTTTGTAAGTTCTTCAGGCCATTATATATAAATTTTATGTGGTTTATCAGGAGATTATTTTTTTAAATACCTCGTGGAGCATTTGTCCATTAGTTCCACATTAAAATGCCTGTTCTCCACGAACTTACGCAACACTCTACAATTATCCAAACATGCACAGATAAGTAAGGAGCCTCAAGAATGTGGCTTGTTTCATAACTAAAACTTGGACAGTGATTTGAGAGTGCAGCTTAGTCAACTCCTTTCTAAGTAAAATTCTCCATTTGCAACTCTGAACTTGCAGACCGAAGGGGTGGTTCCCTGGCCGGTGCCTGACCTCTATGCACACCTTGGTCTGCCTTGATCTCGCTACACTGCAGCCATGTAAATCAGATTTTTTGACACGTTATAAAATGCAGGTCACAGCTGCTGTAGTCTGCAGTATTCAAAAACTTTTGAAAAGCTGTGTGTCTAACAAAATTTATTTTGTGTGAGTATAGTTTTTATTGAGGTAAGCCCTGTTTATTTGGCGGGGGGGGGGGAGGCGGGGGAGGAAGAACTCAGAACAAGCCAGTGATTACTTCAAATCAAAACATTTTGATTGTGTATGTGTTCTCTCTCTCTCTCTCCCCTCCCCTGTCCCTCCACCTCCCTCTCAAACTCCCTCACCCTCCCTCCCAAACTCCTCCCTCCCTCCCTCCCTCCCTCTCTCCCTCCCTCTCTCTCTGCCTGTCTGGTTGACTTTGGGAAAAGACCTTGCCGTTACACCTGTGTTAATAGGAAGTTGTAGATTGAGGTTTCTGCTACCATTTTTGTGCTTGAGTCAGGAGTACATTGCCTTTACAAAACGGAATTGAGAGCTTGTAATCACAACGTAAGTATAAATGCTTCTCCTCTTCAAATATTTATTTTTTAATTCTTTGTTTTTGCTGTAGTAGAAACTTCACACATAAGCATGTCTCATTGGCTACTCTGCCTCACCAGCTGCCAGACATTCTGAAAAAGAATGGCTTGTGTAGATTGGTACGGGTGATGTGCAATCTGCATTTATCAAAGTTCTGAAGGTTCTATCCAAATGTAAAATTTGTAAATGCTGTTGGAGATTTTTCTATAGTATGTTTGAACATTTTCAACAAATTGAAAAGTTGGAAGCTATGGATTCTTCAAAAAAGATTATTGACAAACTTTGTGAAAAGAGCAAAAAGTCAAATCAGGTCACTCAATTTCATTTATTGCCTGATATATTTCATATATAATCTTATATGGTATATTACTGCATTAAAATGTTTTATTAAAAGCAAAATTTATCAGGTTTTTCTGCAGCAATTTAAGATTCTTATTTAGGCAATGTTTATATTTAGTACATTTCTGCTTAATATTGATCTTCTAGTTTTATCTATTCATATTTTTATTAGCACATAATTATCTAAAAATACATGCTCTGGTTTTGTCACTCACATGTCTGAGTTTTAATATTTAAGAGTGTCATATTAGATTTGACATTTTATAATACCCCCAAAAGAAGATAATTTTCCCTAAATTATTAATTTTAAACTATTTTAGGTGCTGTTTTTCAACTTAATCTTTGACCAAGAATGAAACTATTTAAAAATTAAGATGACAACAGGTAATTTCTTGTAAGTTCATACTTTTGTCATTGTGTGTGATTTAGCAAAAGAACCATAAATGTACATTGATACAAAGCTATATTGTTCTCTATCTAAAATTGTGCAATAGTTTGGTTTTGAAAGGCCTTCCTTTATAACACAAAACTATTTTATTTTCAACTTGACATGTTTTACTGGTGTTTACACTCTGACAAATTCTGGTTTACTTTGTATCTGATATCAACTTCTTAAATAATAAGTCAATAAAAATGAGAGCAAGAATAAAAATAGATTTCAGGTTAGATGAGTTTCTTTATTGATCAAATATCAGGCTTTGAGCTACATCTGGTTAAAAACAAGGACATTAATTTCCTGTGAGAGCAGCACATCCCACCCTTCACGGAAGACCACATTCCGTGACTTCCATGGTACTGGCGTAAGGTTAATTGGGATTTTATTTGTTAGCCAAATTGATCTTGAATATTATAAAATATTTGAAAGTAATTTGATTATAAAGAAACACAGCATCATGTAATAAAGGAAAACAAAAAGAATTAGTTTGGGCTGGTTTATTTTCTTTTCACTGCTTAAATTCTTTGTAGTTCTATTTTCCTCCCTAAATTCTTACATTACATTATTATGTTTTTTTAAAGTTATAATATGATGTTGAAACAGGTTTTTCTCAATTCCAAAGTAAAAAGAAAGTTTCAAAATATCAAATTCTGATTGTGGAGACATTTGACCCATAACAATTATGTCCCTAACAGATACTGATATCTTAATAGCAAAAACATTAGAAAGTTTTTAAAGTTAGAATACTCATTTTTAACACCAAATCAGATGGCAAATGGGAGTAATGCCATTTTCTTCTTCACATTAGATGATTCTAGGTCATTTTTAAAAGTCAGAACCAATCAGGAACTAATAACATACTATTTTAAAGCATATAATTTTCCCTTTAAGGCCAAAAGATAAAGTTTTCAGCAGTTTTCTAATCATAAAGTATATAATGACTCAATGAATTTGATTATACTTCTAATTTTTTTTCTATACAATGGCTTTGGTGACCAGAAGTGAAAAGTGTTTTGTTTTGGGCACCAGTGACTCACACCTGTAATCCTAGCTACTTGGGAGGCAGTGATCAGGAGAATCACAGTTTGAGGCCAGACTGGGCAAATAGTTTGCTAGACCCTCTCTCAAAATACCCAACACAAAACCAGGCTGGTGGAATGGTTGAAGTGGTAGAGCGCCTGCCTAGCAAGTGTGAGGCCCTGAGTTCAAACCCCAGTACTGCCAAAAGTTAATAAATAAATAAAGATGGAGGTTGTGAGTGAGCCTGGAAGGAAGGAGAGTTACCAAGGGAGAAAGAGAAGGGGAATAGATGAAGAAAGATAAAGGAAAGCTCAAAGGCAAAGAAGAAAGTAAAGACATAGAAAGAGGAGGGAGAGAAAGGAAGCAACAAAGAAATGGAGGTTTATTTCCTTAATATGCTGAAAGTTCTTGTTGTATATTAACCAACAACTTAGGTTTTAAGTTTTACTGTAGACAGTCTTACAAATTACTAGATGTCACCTATAATCCTTGTGCAAATCAAAACTTTATGAGATTATATTATCTTTGACTTTTCAGAGTGATATGTATAGTAATATTTAAAGATAATTTTGGAAAATGTATTTCAATTATTTAAATATTTTTCCCAACACAATTTCAGATTTTAATATATTTGAGTCCTAAAAGTCAAAATAAGTAGAGTCTTAAGATAGCAAAGTTCTAAGTAGTACTGCAGAATCTCTGTATTAAATGAGAAAGGCCCTATTTATGCTAAGATCCTAATCAACCAGTATAAAGATTTCTTATTTCTGTAACAAGCTTCTAAACCCATTATACTTAAACCCATATTCTTAGGATGGATTAATTGTTTTCTCAAAGGGAGAGACCCTTGCCATGAAACAAGGAGTAAGGTTCATTTTGAGAAAAAAAGTCTTCATTCTAATTTTTATAATTGCCATTTCATTCTAAGATTAGTTACTCCTATTCCTGGCTGCATTAGAAAAACCTTAGTGTTCCTTTTTCTATATGCATATGTGTTTCAGATCACGAAGAGCCTTGTGGTCCCAGTCACAGGTCGTTTTGCCTGAATGGGGGGATTTGTTATGTGATACCCACGATTCCCAGCCCATTTTGTAGGTGAGTGAAACGGACTGGGGAGAGGGCAGTTCCATTTTTAATCACTTATTAACAAAAAGTATAAAAAGAAAGCAAAAGTATACAAAGTAAAAAAAAGTATACAAACTAAAACTATACGAGGTCTACAGAATTTTAAAAGTTTACAAAGTAAAGTGTACAAGGTAAAAAATGATACAAAGTATACAAGGTAAACCTATACAGAGTATATAAAATTTTAAAAGTATACAAAGTTTTAAAAAAAGGGTACAAAGTAAAAAATCAACAAAAAGTATAAACTGAAAGTGTGGGGAGTAATCTTCATTCCCTTTTTATATAGGGCAAAATTATGCTTTTAAAAGAAAACAAAGTAGCAAATAAAAATCTCATTCATCAAGATGCTTATTTTTAAAATTGGTATTGATAGTTTCTAGCCTACACAGATTTTTTTTTAAATCCATTTTAGTGAGCAATTTAGGGAAGGCAGTCTGCAGTCAATTATTTCTGGCAATACAGCTGGAGAATTCACTATTGAAAAAGCTCAACACAAGACACTTGATTTTGGGATACATAAATACAGAATAACTGAGTTGGTACCAAAACTTATACTTGATATAAAACAAAGAGTAAGTTCTTCTAATGTTGGTAGCAAATAAGGAAGAAGGGTGTCTTAGCTACTTTTGTTTTTAAATAGTAGGATTCACATTGTGAACGTAGATCTGGAAAGAAATTTTTTAGAAAGTCTTTGAAATAGTCCTTGGATAGCTGGCTCCCTGGAAGTGTCATGACCCAGCTTTAAAGGGACTTGAGAAACCTCTTCCAGTAAATGAGATAGCAGCAGTACTGCCAGCGAGGCCCTAGACTTTGTGGAGTTGCCACCTAGTGACCCCAAGATACTTTGTAAGATGTGTGTGAAATTACTTGTTCTTTAACTGCAATGAGAGGTAGAGAATCTAAATTTAAGATTCCAGATCTTGTTAAGTAAAAGGATAGAAAAGTGTGATTTATGGGAAAAGTTAAAGATAGTGGGATAGGAAGAAAGGAGATAGATATGTAACCTTGTACTGACCTTAAGAAGTTTTGTGTGGAGTTTTCTTCTCCATGAACATATATTTGAAAAGATGTATGAAGGGAAGGGGATGGAAGAACATACTGACATTACTTAACACTCACCCTTGCTTCTATGTTTTGTGTTTTTGAATCTATTTACTGAGATATAATTACTGCACGGTAAAGTGTATTATCAATTTAATTTATCACTTGATGAACTTCAGCAAATGTTTATCCCTGTGGATACATTGCCATCTCCACATCAAGATATAGAACATTTACACTTCCCATCCCTCAATTTTGCTGCTGACTCTGTTCTTTAATTGCATTTTACCATTTCATTCTCACCAAAACCTGGCAGGGGAACCTTAAGAAATAGAAAAATACTGAGAAATTAAGTGTTTGCCAAAGTTATGCCACTAGGAAAAAGAAATAAATAGCCCTTAGATGTGATCCAAGAACTTGGGAGGCTGAGTTCAAGGTCAACCTCGAGCAAGACCTTGTCTCAGAACACCAACAAAACAAAGAAAGAAAAGGAAATGGTCCTTGATACAACTCTCAAAGTCTGCTTAAACTCTATGGTGTATTCATTCTGAATTCTTTCAAAGGGATGTACCACATGGCATTTGTAAAACGAAGCAAAAATGCTTATCAGAAGATGCACATTTAACAATTACCAGGTGCTAACATTTTATGTCTTGATCTTGGTGATGACTACCTGGGGGAAGACTGTCCTTTCTCCATTGAAAGGACACCTTTCAATTCACCTTTATCAAAAATTGATTAACCAAATATGTGTGAGTCTATTCTGGACTATTCTATTCCATTGATATGTTTCTATCTTTTCACCAATACTGAACAGTTTGATCTTTGTAACTTTGTCATGAGTAAAATTGGGAGGAAAAATGAAACCTTAACTTTATTATTCTTTGTCTCACTGGTCTTTAGCCTTCTTTTCTTACACATGTATTTATTGTTTTAAAAGATCTCAAATACATTCTAGCTTCATCCTAACATTCTAGTTTGTTGTTCAGTTCTAAGTTTAAACTTTTTCCTAATGTGATTTTTTTTCTTTAACCTATTGGGGGGGGTTATCATTTATGTCTAATATAAATGCAGTGTGGTCAGAGTACTTGGTCCATCAAGCTCTCTGCCTTGAGTAAGTTGGAAGAGAGAACTAGCAGTACTGGAATTTGGAGATTCATTAAAATGGGAAGAAACCTGGACTGTCACCCTGCTTTTCATATCTCAGATAAATGTATTTTTAATATATTTTTTAAAAGTCCCCAAGGAAAGAGAATGGGGAATTTTGCTGGTAACCCACACTGTGTTAAAGAGTGTATCTGGTTTCTTCCTAATTTCCAATTTTGAGTGGTAGTTTAGGAGTATCTGACACCATGCCCATAGGTTTCTGATGGATAGAGCATGAAGCCAGGTTACCATATTGCATGGTCTCTAGCTGGTGGGCTTGCTCATGCAATGAGTGGTGAGTCCTAGAGCTGTTAGACACCTGGGAGGAGGAAAGGGCCAGGGTTGAGTAAGATAGAGGACCAAGGAGACCAAGAGAAAACTGAGGGGTATAGTGGCTGAAGATTCATGGGAGTTGAATACAGATATATTTTACATCATGTATTATTATATAAAAAACAAATGCTTTCTAATGATCTTAGGACTGTGTTTCTAAGATACCATTCTAGGCTGTGGTGGCAATATTGGAGGGTAATTAACTCATCTTCCAACCCAACTCACACTATTCCTTGTATTTCCTGTTCCTATAGATGATATGCCCACTGTCAAGTCACTGAGAAACCCAGACTCATCATGGTGACTCTTATTGTTCCCTTGTCCAGTTGTCAACCCATGTTTCTACCTTGTCCTTCCTGTTCTTACAATGGCTATCCTAGCTCAGGTCTTCTTGACCCATTTTTTTTACAGAAATAATCCACCCCCCCCAATTTTTCCGACAGCCTAATTCTTGTCACTGCCCTGCTAAAACAAAACAAAACACTACTGTGACAGCCCTCACACCCATGCACCTACTACCTGTGAAATAAAATCTCACCTCTTAGTCTAACTCTTAGAGCCTTTTATAATTTGGTTCCAAACCACCTTTTTAGTATCCTCCTTTTCCTTGGTCTGTGTTCCATTCAGAATCGTTGGCTGTATACTTCACATTTTGTTGTCTGCCTTGAATTTGTAACTGCTCCTCCTGCTTTTTCTCTGTATTTATGCTTACTCAAAACCTGCTTACATCTCAGGGCTGAGCTCTTCTCCAACCCTCACCCCATTGAATCAGAACCATGAATTCTCCCTCCTCTCCCTCCTGTGAACTTCTGCAGAAATAAGTGAATGTATTACTTTGTATTTTGAGTCATTTGTGTACTCAGCACTCTTGTTCCAATATAAATACTCCCCAGTCCATCCCATCACTTAGAATAGTGCCTTGTCCACAGTGAACTTTTAGAAATAATTTCATGTCTGAATCAGTGGTCAGTATTGTTCTCCTGAGTGGCTGAGTAAGTTAATAAAATAATGAAAAATACTACAGTGAAATATACAAGTAAGCTTTATAAATCTGATGTGGTGCTACCTGCATATGTTAGTAGGGTTTTTTTCCCTCTTGATTTTTTTTTTCTTCATTGAACTTTCTTTGAACATACTCTGGTTTTCCTTATTTAATTTCTTTAGTTGGGCATTTGAACTCAAGACCTCATACTTGCTAGGCAGGTGCTCTTCTGCTGGACCACACTCCCACCCTTTTTGCTTTAGTTTTTTGGCTAGAATCTCTGCTTTTGCCTGGCCAGCCTCAGACCACGATTCTCTTACTTAAGCCTCCCTGCATAGCTGGGATTACAGATTGCTCATTGACATGCTCAGTTTATGTGTTGAGATGGAGTCTCACTAAGTTTTTGCCCAAGATGGCCTTAAACCACAATCCTTCTAGCTCTTCCTCCTGAGTAGCTGGAATCACAGTAAGCTAATGTTTTTAAGATGAGTGTTCAGTATTAACTGCTTGGTGTTTGATGAGATTTGCTTTGAAGCCTGGTTCCTAGGGTTTAAAATGGTCTCATTGTACTAAAGAGTGTGTATTCTTTAGTGATGGGTGTAGGGCTGCAAAAGGTCCTATTAAATTAGGCTTGGCATAATCTTTTATATCCTTACTCGTTTTTACCTATTTGTCAGTAACTACAGAAGTATATCATATTTTCTTGCCATGATTTTGGACCTTCAATATATGGTTTCTGTTAATTTTCACTTAAAATAATTTGAAGCCATGTTTGTAAGCCCATGTGGTTTAGAGTTGGTTGTTTGCTGTTGAAGTTTCCCTTTTATCATTAGGACAGTGACCTTTCTGCCTTGAAATCTACTTCCTTGGTATTAACTAAACAAGCTTCCATTTGGTGAATATTTGATGAGTGGGATTTTTTCCTTTAACTTTTTGTTAAGTATGTCTGTAAATGTATGAAGTGGACCTTTTTAAGATCTTCAAGCTAATAACTTCTTTTAATCAGAAAGTTAAATCAAATTATGTTTATTGTGGTTGTTCCTGACTTTTTTCCACCTTATTTTATGATTTCTACTTACCATGCTTTAAAATTCCTGTTCTACTTTTCTGTCTTCTATTGGAATAATTGTTTCCTTTTCTTTCTACTCAACATTCTGTTTTAATTTTTATAAGCATGCTTTGAAATCAATTTATTTATATCTTTTTGTAATAAAAGAGAGAATATTAAATAGTGCACAGGATGTATAAGTATTGATTGTGCGACTGTATTTCAGGCGTGGCAGGTGCATGTGTGTCACATTTAGTGGGCACCTACTCCCACCTGGATTTCCTCTGGAAGTTATACTCCTTCCCTATCTTTTCCCCCCTTCTTTAGTACAGTTTTCCCGCTAAAGGGAGATTTCTCTTCCTTCTTCTAACCTAATCTCATTCACAGTACCATTGGAGTGCTCTTATTTGGACGGGTGGG